GGGGGAACTGATATCTATTGTTACACTGTCCTATATTTGCTATATTTCTTAGATTCTATTACGGAAATATATGATATATCTTAGCGTTTCGTGCCCTTCATCATCCTCGATCTCCAGCAACTTCTTGTAATGGTCGAATCCATTATACAAGACCTATATAATGGGGAGATTGGGCTCAGCCTTCCGATCTTGATTCGTAGCAATCTCTTCTGAGACGATGAAATCAGGGCGGCGGAAATACGAACTTACTCTACGACATAATATAAACAAGATTCCGACTCGATCTTTCCGCTCCATTTATCTCTCTTGGATTAGCTAATATATCTCGACTCAAGAGAGCGCATAAATATCTCAGATTTATATATATATATATTCTATCGACAGCCATATATATATATAATCAAAGAGAGATGCATCACGTAGAAAAACGTCTTGGGGGGAGGGAGAATTACAATTAATCAAAAATAAAGAAATAATTCGAAATCTCAGACGATTCTTTTTGAGGTTCAGAATTCCCGCCTCATTTATCCTTTTTAAGTTCATTAACGTATATTAGATCGGCAGAATATATATCAAATGCAGTCAACCCGAATCTATTTATTCCTCTAAACATTCCCAAAATCAAATAAATCACGTAGAAAAACGTTCCAGAATAAAAAAATCATGCGACGAAAATTCTCCGAAATTTTCAATTATACCATCCACTTCAAAATTCTCGGATATTTTAATGCCTCTATTTTTTCTGAAAAGCTCTAGAATCTCCGAGATTTTAAAATCCTAAGAAATGCATAAGAAGCATTTTAGATGAAAAGCTACGAAACTACGCGCGATCGAAATAATCGTAATTAAATACGATATAATATTAAAATCTATTTTTATTCCAATCGATTTTCAATCTTTAAAATATAGAAAACCTTAGATAAATCTAAATAATTCAAATCTCCAATCATAATATCTAATTTCTCAAATATCAAAAGCAAATAATAGAAAATCCAAATTTTCTAGATATTTATATATAAAATATCCAAGAAATCATCTAAATAAATAATCTTTTCCAATAATCCGATATTATTATATAAATCTTATATTACGAAAATTCAGATCTATCTCTATATATTTCTTATTTCTCTATATATATTAATTTTGAATCTCTATATGAAATTCGATATGATATGATTATATGAAATCCTATAGATAATCTCTATCATCGGTTTTTATCGATCCAGAATATATCCTATTTGAAATCCAAATTTCATATATCTTCTACGCCAATCCGTAGTTCCCAACCATATATCCCCCCATCCAAAAACGGATCCATCGAGTTTCCAATTCCGACCCACGCGCCGCCATGTAGCTGTCGCAAATTCAGGACCAATCCCCATCGCCGAGCCAGCCACGCATATCCGCCGCAAGCCCGCGCCAGCCCACAGTTCCGCGTCGCGCGAGCCTGTCCACTCGGTGAGTTCTTCTACTATTCTGAGGAAGAGACCCAAGCGTTTCCTTGTTGGAGCAGTCATACATATATATATATTTATCTCCATCTCGTGAGACAAACAATCATCAATCTCGACTCTGAGGAGATATCTTGCACGTCGAAAAAAAATGGCGATCCTGCTCCCACTTCGAAGCTCCCACTGTCGAAGCATGAAAAGCAGCAATCACTTGCATGGGCAAGATTAAAAAAACCTAGCTTGACAGACCGGCGCGCAAAATCTTTATGTCATATGTTCTATGAACATATCAAATTCCTTAAAATAAGATTATATACGCATATATCTCATTTTTCACAATTCATTCTCTCTTCGTTCTATATTCATCAATTCTCGATTGGGATTTTGGACTGTCCCCTGCCCATCAGAAGCCAATTTTCCAAATCCCCTCATCCTGATACGAAATCATCCGATCTTTCAAGATACTAAAAAATATCACAATCCCTACGATATTTCCAAAGAGACTATGAATGAACTCGTGATTCTGAAGCAGCAATCTTACTTGCATTGCCATTCTGCCTCACAAGTCCTTAGTCATCGCCTGATTGCTTTCAGGGAGGAGGTGTCTGATCTTGCGAACCTTGTCCTGCCAACCAAGCAACTTGATCAGTTCCAGAAACCTTGTTCACTGCAGGTGGAAAGGAAGCAGTCACAGGGGTTGCTATCCATCGCTTGACAGTCTAGCACTAATGAGAAAGGATATTGTTCTACAGAGGTGGGGGAAGGGGCGCTAGTGAACAGAAAAGGGATGGGGGCGCATCATCGGTCCTTATCCAGCCCCGTGCCCCTGAGACCTTCCCCTCACACCTGGGGGTTCCATTAAAAGGGAGCCCCACAAATAAACTCCAATATACTGTTATAAGGACTCCTAAACGCGGACCCCTAAGTTTTGGAAACCACCAAAAACCCATCTCTCGAATATTAATCCCCCCCACCCCTCCTAAGTTTACATACCTCCCAGATATTATGATACGCCACGTAATGCTAATATTTAATAGGGGGTTAAATATTGGAGGGAGGGGGTTAATATTAATCATAATAATAATCATAGTAAAAAACAAGTAGTAATACTGATAATAATGATAACACGAGATCTTCTGCAACCCGGAGGCGCTTCGTCGCAAGAGATTTCGCCTGCCCACACATCGCGAGTGGCACCTTTGCCATATTGAATACCTGAGTCTATCATAGTTTATTATAGTAAATACTATGGTATATCATAGTAGGGTCACTTACGGGACCATAGCAAATATCGTTCGTATTCTTTTTGCCAAGCTTAAGTAGACACACAAGAAGTTTCAAGACCTGGGCAAAATTTGCAGCAATTATCCAGATACCCAGATCTTGGCCGACAGTCTCCTTGTTGACGATGAGCCTCAAGGGTGGATCATTGAGTTCTTTAGAAGGAGCCGTCAAACACTCCACCTAAGAAAGGCAAGACCGCGGCTACCTGTTATTGTTCCTCTCAATATGATCACTATGAAGTCATCTTCTTGCGCTCGGCGTTCTGGAGGGAAGCCCTGCTCAAACAGCTATGGGGGTTTTCCGGAATATTCTTACTATATTACTAAACATGGAAAACTACATGGAATCTGGGATTATACAATAGGTTATAGAGGTTAGTTAGGGTTTCCCAAGATTAGGGTTATCTGTGTATCTACATAAACCATGCGCCCCAATCAACACCAGCACGCTTTGTCCTTCTTTCTGTAGCCAAGCAGCTGTTAGAAACAAAAAGCCTTCTTGTGTCCCTTAAAGCGGCTGCTGATGTAAATAACAGCAGCCACTCCTAAGTAGGATTATAGAATATGCATTTGTCCCTCCCAGTGGCCTCACGCAGTCTCTTGGTACCATTTGCACCACAGCGTTGGCAGGAGATACTACCAGGGAAGTGCCTGCTACTATGAGAAGATCCGCCTGCTCCAAATCGGCCGTTTGCTCGAAGAACCTTAGCCATTTGGGTTCAAGCTTCTTCAAAACGCAACATGCCTCGTATTCCCTATGCGTAACATTGATAACTACAACTATTTGGCTTCTACAGTACTCCAGGACACTCGGTGGGAAGCGAGCTGCCAAACAGAACTGTGTTGGGCTTCACAAGGGGGCGATTGCACCGCGGACAGTTGATGTTGGAAGATTCCGCTGGCGCGCTTGGGTCAGTCTTGTAGATGTCCTTGACATTGGTGCGAACTTTGGCGCAAAAATCGTCAAATGGCATCTCCTCACCACACCCTTCGCATGACACTCGCGCCAAACTGCCGTGGACGTTGGTGACCAGCTCTTTTGAGATTCCAGTTTGATAGTCCAATCCATCGATATTTTGGGTGAACACTCGTTTCAGCAAGGCTTCCTCTTCTAGAAATCTCATGAACCAGTGTGACAAGGTGGCCTTCCATTGCTGCTGTTGTGTCCCGAGAATAAAAGGCCTTCGCACCTCGAGATAAGGAAACTGGTTCTGGAAGAACATGTCTTTCATGACCACGTTGATAGGGTCTCTGCGCATGCGCTTGCGCTCAGCCTTCGTGGCTGTGATGAGCTCTGGCCGCAAACTGTCGTACATACCGCCTGGTGAGCGGAAGTCTGGAATTCCGGCACCTGTTGAAGCGCCGGCGCCTGTAAGAACGTAGACGGACTTAATGGCACCCGACTTCAGGCTTTCGGCAATGCCTGCCAAATCGAGGCTCACGCGAGGCTTCATCTGCCAGATTCCAAGAAGTCCTCCTACTGTCGTGAGATCAAGCCAGAACTGTCTTGGTTTCTGTCAATGTCTTGAACTGGGCTGGAGCTTGAGGCTGGTGCTCTCTACCAATCCGAGTCAAAATGATTGAGCCGGCTACTCCGAAGTAGCTGTGTTGCTTGGCGGGGACCTGGCTTAGGAGTGATTCAGGAGAGCGCAGAGTGCGGCCGGCTTCTCTCATGTGCATTCTTCAAATTTCACTACCGATTGCTTCTGCTATGATTGACATGCGATGCGAAGAAGCAGATCGGCAACATTCTGTGGCAAACAATACTGCTGGACATGAAGATCGTATACGAAACGGACCTCGCTTGAACTTCACAACCTGGCAGCTGTCTGCACTTGTGGCCGCTATTCGGCAAGATGTGGTCTGGATGACAATGTTTCTCGCTTGGCATTTACAAACAATCTGACTTCTCCGTCCTTTCGCGAATCCTGACTCTCTAACTTGAAAAAAGGACTGGACGCAAATCGCGCAGTCCACGTGCAACACCAGCTCGCTGCTTAACGCAGACAAGAGACAGGACAATTCAATGCAAACATCTGGAAGATCATGAGTCATGAATGAGCTTTGCTCTTCTCAGTGACACATGTTCACTTGGTTCAGAGTAACATTCAGCACAGGTGTCTACTTTTTGTAACGTTCGAGAAGACAGCTTGAAGCTGGATGCGTCACTTAGTCCAAGTGTTGAACGGGATACACACTCCCTCTGCAAAAGCCGAGCAAGAGACATACTAGAAATCACCGATGGCGTGTTCAGGAATTATGTAATTCTGTCTGCTCATGACGCTCAACTATTGCCATCTATGTACATCGCTGTACTGCACTACAGCGAGTATGGCCACTTGAAAAGCGTGCCCAAAAATGTGTCTGTGACCAAGCCCCAAGCTAGATGAGACCATCAATTCTTCCTAGCAGCTGTTTGCATAGCTTCTGTTCGAGCTTACCTTGCTGCTGTATGCAAGGGGTCTTGCCTCACAAGCACTGGCTTTCCTATCTAGCCGAGCTAGCCACTCACAAAGGATTTAGCTTTAGCTTGGTGATCTGGCCCTGGCAGCGCAGGTGGACGGACTGAACCAGTGGTCAGCCCTGCACAGGCACTCGCAACAATGAGCACGCCATGCCAGCAACGGCAATGCTATAAGTAGAAACGATTTCTGGTCGCTACGACTACACGTTCCCCTGCCTGTAGAGTTAGAAACTGACTGAAATGGTCCGCCTCTTCATGACGCCAGGATACGTTGCTCCTGTTCATGATGTCCAGCAGAACCATGCATCGCCTAGCAGGTTCAGGACCCGTGTACGGAAACCACAAGAACGGCAAGTGCGACTTCGCATCCTACGGACAGAGTACAACGAAGGCATGACAGCTACACGTGCAATTGCGACAACATGGTTGAATGTCCCTCGGAACGAGCATTGACATTCTTTTGTACAGCGAAGCAACTCGATTTTGTTCTGCTCAAAAATGCACCTGAAGCCTATCGAGACTGGACCCGCTAACTACTAGGAGCGATGCTTCTTAGCCTTGTTTTACATGCTACTGAATTGAAAAATGCGTTTGCAATTGCACAACTGGATGAAAGAATCCTAAGTGGCCCCACACCAGAAGACCACATGGGACCTTAGGGAGTTTTTGGGAGGCCTTAGGAAGGTCTTAGGCAGTCCTTCTCGTTGTGGGTGCCCCATATATGGAGCCCACTTGAGTGTCCCTTAAATAAATAAAGGACTCAAACAGGACCCTCGGTTTCTTTACCTCGTGATACAGAGGAGGTGTACAGAGTTTATATGGAATCCCTTTAAACGCTTATTGCGGTGCAAAATCGAAGTCCCAAATCCCAACCCTAAACCTTACTTTAAACCCTAGATCCTAAACCCTGGAAGCGATGGTCCAGGAGGCCTCGTGGAGTCTCTCCCTTAATTCTTCCTTGGATCTGTACCTGCCGAGACTGGGTTGCCTTATGGAGATGAAATGAAGTTATTACAGAAAATAATTCGGCTTCCTTATAAGATGAAATTTAAGTTATGATAGGGAATAATGGGGTTTCCTTGTTTTAAGTACCTTAACAGCAACCCAAGACATGTTGACGGTTCTCTGAAATGGCCGCTTCTGAGATTAGCGCTGGCTGCACGTTCTATAGATGACACGCTGATGTATGGTATGGGCATGCTTCTCCTTACTTGGGGTTAGTAGGAAATAAGGGACTTGTTCCCTACTAACAACCAGTTAGTCCCGTGGAGTGTGGAAAAATGCATAGAGACTCTACACTTCTCCAAGTTAGGTCGTCTGAAGCCATGAGTCCTCCACATGCATCTCGAAGTACGAAGACCCTAAACCCTAAACCCTACACTGAAAAGGGATAGCCACGATGTTGAGAAAGTTCTTACCCGCTGAACAATCCCAGTCTTCATCTTAATTTCCATGTTCCTTTCCATTTGATTCTCCCTTATTAGGAAAAACCCTATATAATCCCCCCCATATAACCCTACACATAATAGTTTCTATTTCATTTTCCTTGTTTTGCAGCAACTTGTGAACATTAGCTACTTATTAGGGACTAGTAGGAATTGGGGGCAACGAACTCGGCATCTTGGCCAACAAATCAGCGCGAAAATTTGCAATCAACTGAGACTTGAAGCCAAAAGATTCATGTCTCGCTAGCAATTGCAAACCAAGGTGGCTGAGTTGCACATATCCCTACCGGCCAGTGCCCTTGAACAATCAAATGTCACTTTAGAAAAATGCCGAGCCCGTTTGCTGATCGATAGGCCACGGCCACACACACCTCATGAACTTACTAGGGCCGACTAGGGAACAAGGGAATATTCTATATAGAGATCATATGGGTTGTGGGGATAATGCTCCTCGATTCCCTACTAACCCCCAGTAATTGAAGGTATGGCCTGCCCCACGGGGCACGTGAGCTATGGTCTAAAATCCTAGTGTCCAGCCTAGCAACCTTTCGGGTTTAGGATTTAGGGTTTAAGGTTTAGGGGTTTTGGGTTTAGGATTCAGGGTTTAAGGTTTAGGGGTTTCCGGGTCTAGGGTTAGTGTAGAGCCAAAGAAACTGTAGCCATAGTGGTACGAAAGTTGATCAATAGGAGCGACTAGCATCATCAGACTTTGAAAGTGCCACCTCTGAAAATCCCCAATCTGCATCCCCCAAACTGCCCTTGTACTTATAGCTCCCTGTGGATAGAATATGGTTTGGGTATATTCTACTAAGATCCCCACACATACCATATTTTAGCTACTTAACGGGGACTATATATGCCGCCTGCTTTGAGAAACCCTCACATTGCGACTGTGGTGGTAGTCGCACTAGTACAATATGATAATATATTGGAGCTATATAGGGATTAGAAAATAAAATGGAACCTACTAAATTATAATAAGGAATATATGGCAGTTTCCCAAAATAAGGGGAACCCATTTTAGACCCCCAAAATACTCTAATCCTTATTACTGGGAACCCCACAATGGTACCTAATTTTGGGAAACCTCCATATAACCCAACCCTAAACCCTAAACCCTGCGGGGCACAGGGGCAAATACAGCTGGTTGGCACAGGCCCGGGAGCGCGGGAAGCCCCGCCCTGCTGTGCAGGCTACACAGGTTCCTTGTAGCTATGGTCCGCCTTAAGTGGATAGAATATGGGGTATATGGGGATCTTCTTTTATAATACATCCTAAGCCATATTCTATCTACTTAAAGGGGGAACGTAGCATGGGTCTGCAATCTTCATCTACTATCGAGGGATCGTACGAAGCAACATTTCAAAATCGGTAGGGTTGTGTCCGACATGATTCAAGTGCGATCTTCAAGGATGGAGGCAGGTGTTGTTCAAGGTGTTTGGGTATTGCTAGTGTGCTACATTGGACTTAGAGCTTCGATAGGAATTCTAGGATGTAAGCAGGCTGCTTGAGATGTTCGGGTGACGTCAGTGCACTTCGATGTTGGGCTTAGAGCTTGCGGTTTGCATGTAGAGACTGCAGGACTTGATGGGTTGGGTTTGATGTGTTCAAGGCTGTAAGGCAGTTGACGGTGCGCAAATGTTTGGGGCGCTTAATATCCATTTACCATTCATAGTAATCACAATAGTCATCATATCCTTCATAGCTGCCAATATGCCTGCACTCTTCTTCGATGCGACTATTCCCAGATCTACGGTTAGCGTTGAGATGCAAACTGATGTGAATGCTCATTCTGCTTGGATGTCGGAGCGTGAGTGTAAGTAAGGTTCCAAAGCCGGAGCCTGATGCTCAGCTGAAGTCTCCAGCTCTTGGCCCTTAAGAGGCTGAACTGGTTCAGATCTTTCCAATGCTGCCGGCTGCTATGAATCACGGTGTTCTTCTTGTACATGCTTATGTGAGGACGTTTCTCCTGAGGATTCCCAAAGGAGAACCTCCGGGGCCGATTCATGACTGTGTCTAAATGCAAAGGGTCTCACGGCTCGCATTACCATGCCAGCATGCTGGCCTGATGCAACAGACTCAAAGCAACATGCTGCCAAGATTTCGCACGAAGGCTTCCACTTGACCCTGGTGACCTGATGAGGCTTCTTGTAGCTGTTCAAATCTCCACTGCCTGCTGTGGAGTCTGGGAACACGTCCACGTGGAATGAATCGATGCCTGACACCATGTCTGTGAAATGTCCAGTGAAAACACATGCTGATTCAGCTTGTGAACATTGGTAATTACTGCTGACATGCTTCCATTGCAGCGCTTGATTCCCCTTGTCTTTACCCTGGCCGTCCAAATCCTGGCCAGGCCAGGATTTGCGCATCTCCAGCGACACAAGTCATGTTCTCGACCTAGGCACCTCTTTCCAACGGGGGATTGGGTGCTTTGGTTTCGGGATGCAGGTATCGCGGCAGCTCCGTCGTCAACTTTCGTACGACATTCGTACAGGAGCACCTGCCTATTGCAAGAAGTGCCATCGGGCCAATCAACTACACGGCGCGCGCAAGCAACCTTGCCTTTTCCGGGCCAGGTTGCAGATCACCCATGAGGCGAAGCTTTTACTTCTTCATCCAAAGACACAAGAAAGCAGCGTGAAAGCGGATTTTCTGTCAAAACACGCACACTTCCGAACCAGTCGTTCATCGTTCTCTCTCTTTCTCGAGCAGTGATGATTGCGCTACCGCCGCCAAAGCAGCTGCCGCCGCCACCGTTGCTGCCCCGCCCCCGAAGATCAGGACTACCAGCCAGCACAACTATCACCTCCGCCACTCCTCCTCCTACTCGTGCTCCTACTCCAGCTATTCGCTGCAGCGTCTGGATAATTACCTTCAAGCAGCGGCCGCTGTGCCTCCAGGCGGGAAGCGAGGGCAGGATGACACGAAGTCGAGGAAGCGAGATCGGTTCACCTCTCAAGAAGCCATTTGAAGTTATGTAGCTGTTCATTGGCCGCTTCCTGGCTTGAAGCATACGATTTTTTGCTTCGTGTGTGGAGTATTGAGCACAGCAAATGGGCAGCTGTGCGCCTGGTCCATGTCCAGCAAGACGGCCTTGGATGTTGTGCACTATGCCCAACGCTGGCGAAAGTAATGCCCGTCCGGGCAAGCAATATCTGAGGCTGTCACTACTAGGTGCTGGTATGATGGTGATTGCTCAGTCAGTCCGCCTTGATCGGCACAACTTGGCTCCAAACTCAAAATGAGCAAAAATCCCCAACTGTGCTACAAAACAGTCCAGCCTGATGGACGCAAGTGATCCAGCAGCTCCTGCTCGCCCCACCTGAATGGCCAGTTGCAGTGTGTTGTAGGAATCTGGCCTGAATGTTCCTGATGCTACTTAAGATCATCAAAGCAAGTCTCATACAAAAGCAGCGGGGAGATCTTCGCCAGCTCTGACTGACAACAAAGCAAGCTTCGTCAACTAAGCACGCTGCTCCACAGAGTCCTCTCCACCTCAGCAAGGCAGAATGTGCGTTGAGCCTGTGGGGGCTTCTACATCCCTTCTGGTGCTACTCCGGCCAATAAGCCTCTAGAAAGAGCTTTCGTAAACCGCACCCTTAGACCCACTGAACTCTGGGCAGCATTATGTGTAGCTAAAGCCTAGACCCTTTCAAAAGACTCCCAAGCCGAAGCCCTCATGTACCAAGCTTCTGGCATATCATGTCGCGCAGCTCCAAGGCACTGAAGGCGCTGAAACACTCCACAGGAATGACCTTTGCGCACCCACGCCAATGGGGTGAGGCTTTTACCCGGTCATGGACAATCAAATGGAGAAGGAAACTGAAAATTAATGGGGAAGGTGAAAGTTTCGGAGAGTCCCCACAATAACGATTATGTTGTATTGGGGCTTGTACCCGGGGCCCCGAAGAAAGGAAACTCCAGATTGTAGTACTCTTAAGGACCCCAGGGATGTGTTGGGATTACAGATGGATCATGAAGGCCCCCATTGCAGGCTATAGCGGATCTGCCGACCAATTACTGTTCATCCCTAACTGAGCCCTTGACTAAACTTCTAGTATCCACCTCAATAAGCCTTATAACACTCCGTGTATAATCCCGTATATAACCCCTTCAAGGAGTTTAGGCTATAGCTCAATTGATGAACCTTCCTCCCTTGGATCCTAACATCTGGGAGCTCAAAGAATGTTCCTGTACTCATCAGGGCTCCGCAACGAACGGTCAGAACAAGTCATCGAAGCTTTCTTGTGGGCAAACTGTTTTAAGCCAGAAAGAGACATGTGCGAATATCAGTGTCAGAACGAAAGGAAACTACTATGGTATATCCCTAAAACCAATCAGTTTTTGATTCATTTTTCCTTTTCTTTTCCGTTTGATTCTCCATTATAGGGGGATAACCACTAGTCTTCATCTTTTGCTTCTCGCTGCAGTGCCAGCTCTTGCTGCATTGTTGTTTTGAGCCGCGAAACCATCTTAAACACACTTGCTTTTTGGCCATGGAGGGTCTAGGGTTTAGGGTTGCCCCACAAGAAATCCAATCTACTACCTAATTACTGGGATCCCTCTGTGTTCAACTAAAAAATGCCCGCAAGTCCAGCCTCGTCCAAGCCTTCTCGGAAGGCTGTCAGCTGACCACGTACGCCTGGAAGGCTTGTGGGGTTTCTGAGAGTAGAGGAACCCTGGAAGCCCCGAGTGGAAAGGGATGACGAACAGGACTACAGGGACTTCGATTTGGACTGGATGGCTGATGATTCGTGTCTGCACATAAAGCTGAGCTAGCCGCCGTCGTCGCACCAGTAGGCATGCGCAAGTTCCACAAACTCTTGAACGTTTTCGACCTTGGCCAAAATTCATCTGCGAATCTAGCGTCTTGCCTGCTCCTAATGTCATACAACCTGGGCATGGGCTGTGATAGCCCGGTCTGCTCCGCCGGGACATAGAGGAGCGCCACTCAGACCGGTCTCCAGGAAGCTTACCTAACACCGCTGAATTTGTCCACGTCAAAGGGATTCGGGCCTCTACGTGCCGGACACCAACCAGGGACATATAGTCCTCGAAGGACATGGGCTCTGGGGTGGCTCCTGTTCGGATGTTTGATGAAGAGGGCTCCAAGGATCTGTGATCCATGCATTTCCGAGCCTGCTGCCAGAAACCGGGTAGTGAAGTCACGCTCCCGACCCTGAGATCTGCGCCTGCCAGCACACTGGGTGCGTACTCTTCTTGACATTGCCAAGAGGGAGCACCAAATTTGCTTAAAGGTGCAATGAAGGTAAGAAAGCACCAATGAAACTGGACTGCCATGCTGATATTACTACTACTTTTACGTTTACAAAAACAACAACCACTACTACTGCTGCTGCTGCTGCTTCTGCTGCTGCTGCTGCTACATCTTACTATTTCTACTGTTGCCCATATTTTGAGCGTACATCTTCCAAGGTATTCGGACATTTACTGTTACAGGGATGCTTGTGACTCCGGCGCGCCAGCTTTGCAACTCTTCTGCCGAAGGCCAGCCCAGGCCCGCCTGTGTCGAAGCTTTGGGGCTCAGGGGTTTAGGGTTTAGGGTTCAGGGGCGATGTAGGGAGAATACAGAGGGTACATGGGGATAATGGCAAAGAACATGAAAGCTATTACTCAGGGATTTAGGCATATAGCCTCAATATGGGAGAATCAAATGGAACAAATCAAAAATCACATTGAAACTTGTGCTTTTTAACGGTTTGTAAGAGCCTTTGGTAAAGGTTATAGGGTTGGGCAGCTCCCTGTTGAAACAAGTATGGCTCGGAAATGCCAAAGTCTACCTAAGACAGGTCACCCCTACCCCCCTTCCCCTAATGATAACCCTTCAACTCCCTAAAGATAAAATTTCCCATACTCTATAGTGATACCGTATTGCAAGAATTCATTATTACCGTGAGGCTTATTTGCGAGGGAGGGGTTCTAAACCCGCTAGAACCCTAAATAAGAGCTATGTGCAGCACATATAGGACATGAACCCTAACATAATCTTAGTTTCCATGTAATATGTCATTTGCAATTGCATTTGATTATCCGTTACACCCTAAGCCCTAAACCCCAAACCCTGTATAACCCCGTAATCCTAAACCCTCCAAATACCCCTCAACCCTAGACTCTATAAATCCTCCTAAACCGCAAACCCCAAATCCCCAACTCCCACCCCCTAAATCCTTGACATCTCTGCCAAGTTCAGGCCTCAATCCGCTTGTGGCAATAAAGCTCCTGCGGAGGGGCAGTCGATGGTCTTCGGAACGACATTAGAATCATACAGATAGGGGATACAGCTAGGGGAATTTGAGTTCTCCCAACTAACAAAATTAGGACTTGATAGGGTTCAGGGCCTGGGATTATCCCCACCAACAAAATTTGGGCCCTACAGCTATCGCATGACTGCTTTCGAGTCCTCATTCTCAGTACTGGGAGCTGCTACTGCTACTCGTGTCTTGCATGGTCTTGACACGTCTGTACCAGAACACCAAAATCTGCCAACGGGGCTCTTGGGGACCTAATCTCACCTGTACACTGCGCTGCACTCCTTGTGAGAAAACCCATCAAGCACGGGAGCAATCTAAGCCGAAGCCTGACTTGCAGACCCTTTTTCGAGAATTTTTCACAACAAATCCTGCACGACTTTGAGCTATCGGAGCCTCACGTCCCTGACCTCTACCCCTAGTAACTGTACAGCCCCCTAAACCCTGTCCCTTGACCGTCACCCCAAACCTTAAACCCTGATGCTAAATCCGGGTCCAGGCCTCCGCTGACCGCAAGGCAGCGGCGAAGTCAGCCAATGCGCCACACAGCTCTCCGGCCTTTGAGATTCAGGGTTTAGGGTTCATGGAAATTACCATTTCTAAGCATTCTAGGCCTGAGGATTTAGGGTTTAAACGGTTCCCGAAATTCGCTTTAGGTTTGTAACCCTAAATGATCCCCATAGAACCCCTACATAACCCCATATGCTTCCCATATAGCCCCTAATTACTATATAGTCCCCCTAAAGTCTAAAACCCAGAAACCCGAAACCCCAAAACCCTACAACCCTAAAAACCCAACATCCTAAAACCCTAAGAACCCTAGGAACCCTAAAAACGATACCCTAAAAACTAAACCCTGAACACCCTAAACTCAAAAAACCCTAAACTCTAAACCCTCATCATCCTAAATTCTAAACCCTATAAACCCTAAATTCTGGAACTCTAAACCCTCAAAAACCCAAACCCTAAAAACCCTAACCTCTAAACACTAAAAACCCTAAACTCTATATGCTACCTTCAGTAACTCTGAATGAGGCCCGCACGCAGCCCGCTCCAGGCCTTCGGCTTGATACCGTAAATGGGAGTTTCTCAAGGATTTAGGGCAGGGTTTAGGGTTCTGGGGTTTAGGGTTTATGGTGTAGGGTTGAAGGGTTTTAGGGTTTAGGGTTTAAGGGTTTAGAGTTTAAGGGTTTAGGGGTACCTTTACATGGGGGTATAGGCATAGGGTTTAGGTTTTAAGGTTATAGGGTTATAGGGGTTATACGGCTATATAGGGAGAGATAGGGATACAGAATATGTAGGGACATGTAGGGTTTAGGGTTTCCCAAAATTAGGGGGGTACCCTTTGGGGGTCCCCGTAGTAAGGATCGTAGTGCGTTAATTACATAGGGGTCTAGAAGGAATACCCCCTAACAGACAAGGACTGTAGTATATCAAGGTCTACGTTGGGGTCCCCCTCATTTTAACACGGCCTTTTCCACCTTGCATCCAGGCGAAAGCACGGTCAACGGGTTCAGTATTTAGGGTTGGATTGTTGGGTTTAGGCTGTGGAATTTTGGGTTTAGGGCTTTGGGTTTGAGGCTCGTGTTCAAGGTTTAGAGGTCAGTGTTCACGGTTTTGAGTTTAGGGGTTGTCTGTCGCCTTGTCGGCGCCCTCTATCCAGCTGTTTTTGACACCGCTGTTAAGTCTCTCGGTACTATTCTTGCAATTGGCGTTGTGATTAATGTCATGAGCCAGTTGATTGAGCATTGGCCGCAGCGCGCCTCGGCAAACTTGCCAAAGGTTCTCGTCGTTTCTCATGCAGCTTGGACGGCTTCTGGCCCAGAAGAGTCCGGGCGAAGAAGACCTCCCAAACTTTGCAGGTGGAGGTTTCCTAAAATTAGGGGTACCATTCTGGGGGATCACCAGGGTAAGGGGGGGTCCCCTTATTGTGGGAGGCTACCAAGTGGTTTCTACAAACGGGGGACCCCAATATACTATGACTGTATATGGACCCCTAAATACAGACACCTGATGTTTGCATACTCTCCACCAACCAGGGTTTAGGGATTTTGCAGGAGCTGTGGTTTGATCAAAGCTTTTCCGTTTACTGTCCGGAATGAATCTGAGGTGGTCAATCTGTCTCTACTAGGGCTTGTTCATGCCAGGTTGAGCAGAACACAGGGGGCGGGGGGGAACACATGTTGTGCTTCTTAGTCTTTAGGTCGTAGCTCCTGAAAGATACATGTCACTACTGAAGCATAGCAGAGAAACAATAGCATGATTCGACTGCGGTACACTTGGCTGCCCGTCCTATCACAAAGTTACCCACAAGCCTCCTCTTGTTCTTAGAAGGACACGAAGTAACGCAATATTGAAATGACGTCACAACCTTCTTTCCAAACACTTGGCCTCGCGCTAGAAGACGGAAGGGTCTAATCCCTAATCTCAAACATCTAGAGATCTCCCAATTCTTGGGAGGTGGTGTGCCTTTAACGCATACAGGGATGGTGAGTTCCTCAAACTTTTCATGGACTCCCCAGATAGACAACCCATGAGGAGTCCCCACCTATCTCCTAGACAATTCCTGCCCAACACTCTGCCTCCCCCAGGGGCAAGGGGACGATGAATCCATCTTTCAAAGCTCGACCCACCAGACGCCCCAGGAAGCGGAAGCGGCGCTCGGCAGCCTTCAGGGTGTCTGGCCCAGTGTTGAACTTGCTGGGGGTTAGTAGGGAATAAAGGAATATACTATATAGGGATTCCACTCCCCTACTCTCTACTAACCACCGGTAAGTTTTATTAAGGGGCGATTGATTCCTCTAGAACCTGGAAGTTGTGGGCGGAGATGTGTTTAAAGGTTTTACGTGTCAGGGGGCTGGAGAGTCTCGTAAGCGTGGTGCCGGTCATCGTTTGTCTGTGGCTGAACCTCGAGCTGCCAAGAAATGAGTATCTGGTCCGAATAAGAACCTTTCCAAGTTGGTTGGATTGCGGTACCGTCCGCATCCAGAGTGTTACGCCGGTACCGTCCGGCAAGCCCTGTACTGTCGGGGCATTGTTGAGCTTTGTGCAGTGAATGATGTGGATGTATTCCTTGGTTTTTTGTTGGTTTTCGGAGTAGGGTGTGAGTTCTTTTTTCCTTGTTTGGTTGTTTGGTTTTGTAGGGCGTTTCTTTTTGGTTTTTGTTTCTTTAGGGTTTCGAGTTTTTGCAGGGCTTCTTTAATTTACTTCGGAGTGTCGCGAGCTAAATTTGATCTCCTTTTTTGCTGACAGTTTTGGCTGCACTCCTACTGGTGCGGTGGGGAAGTTGCTTGGATGGGACGACCTCACCTTATCCTACAGCAGTGCAGGCTCTTTTTAGTGTGTGCTATTGCTTGTAACCTGGGACCAAAGGCCACATGGCCTGCCATGGTCCAGTTCCAGTTTTGCGAAGTGGGGCAGCCTGGAGACTTTCCGTAGAGTCTTCGCTATAGGCAGTACTGTCAGGAATCTGTTAGGATTGCCACGTGTATCATTACGATGTATCATAGTCCAAGGCCTAAGATGATGCAATAGAAAGGAATTCCGTACCAACGCTATCTTTCAGATCATCCATCATCCAGATGAAAATAATGGTAGGAGGCCAGTACGGGGATCCGTGAAGACTGCCCCTGTGTTCATTTTCAGTATGACAAGTTTAATCTGCGATGTCGTTAATGCTGTCAAGCGCCACAGCAATTCCTTTCAACATCTGGTCAATAGGTAAGCTAGCATGTGACACGGATTACGACCCATCCTCCCGAATCAAACTGTAGTATCTCATCAGCTCCACACGTTAGCCGACATTGAAAATCTACCATGTGAAAACCCCAAATTCCACATGCCAGTAGTCTTCTCGCAGGGATGGATACGAACAACCCAAGCAACTCCTGGAGGACACCCTCGACTTTATTGGTCTGATACAGCTTCCAATCAGTCCAACAATGTTCTCAACCCCTACCAAGACCACTTTGTCCCAGTGGATTTTCATGTATCTTGAAGGGATCCCCTCGGATTTGAACTCCTATAGTAAGGGTGATAGTATTTTGGGGTTTATAGTGGGGTCGCTATTTAGGGAAACTACCATATAGGGGTTCGCACTTAACATGCAATAGCAATTCCACATTTTTGCCGGTATCTGCAAGCCGTGCCAACGCCCGACGCTGGTTCTTCTGATGTGCTTGCAGAACATAAGTGGTAGCTCAATGGCAGACGTAAAAGAACCATGTGGTTGCTTCCATTTCCTTTTCCATGATTCAAGTATATAACTTCACAATTCCCGTATGTCGCTTTGATATTTCTGTATTGACCTACTGCAACCCTAAATCCTAAATACTGTAATTCATCCAGTTGCTTGCGTTCTGTTTTCCATCATATCTTTTGTTATTGCTTTGCCTGTATTTTGCAGCAGTCTCAATTTCCGGTGCCACGGTACTACTAGAGCTTTATACTTTCATCCTTATATATGACATAGACCGCTATCCGTTGTCTTTTCTGAGTCCTAAGCCACGCACTTAAGCCCTAAACCCTGAACCCTACTAACCTACTCAGGCCCAAAACCCTAAACCTGAAGCCTCAAGGCCTAAACCCGAAACCCAGGCCTCCCTCACAGAGCAGTTCAGCGGCAGGGGACGGACCCAAAGCCCGGAGCGGCAGCGCAAGTGCTGACCTTGGAGGATGAGATATATAGAGGGTTTAGCGTTTAGGGTAGAGTTATACAGGGATATGTGTATACACGTATAAACGGGAGTATGTAAGGACAGAGGGGATGACGGAAGGATATGTAGGGTATGTGGAAACTGGTTGTTCTTAGGGGCATGGGAAAGAAAATGGAAAACTATTGATTCAGGCTTCAGGGTTGAGGGCTTTGCGAATGGAGTTTGAAATTGCTATATCCTTTAGGGTTTAAGTCTTCAGGGTGTTCGGTGGGGAATGGAGGAACAAATCCTTATGATCCCTGGAAGTCTGCAGTAGTCCCAAGATGACCCCCCAAGCATAATGCCTCCACCAATAAGTCAATTGTCAGTGTGGCAGCCAGATAACCATCTCAGTAGAATCGGCAGAGTGTAGATTCATGCTAATCTTTAATTGTAAGCGGCCATTACCCCCGAACCCTGAACTCCTGAACCCCTAAGCCGTAAAGCTACGGAAATCACCACCTCCCATGCCAACATCTTGTTTCCTTACAGGAGCCTGACATTGGAGGATGTTACTCCCTCCCCTTGTCGCACCCCCCCACCCCTAATAACAAGTATTCCCCAATGTCTAAAAAATCCGACATGTGAGATTTATTATTGGAGGAGTGGGGGGGCTTCCTTTCAAGGGAGGGGATTATACCTGGTACGCGAGCCGAAAAGCAACTCACCGAGGCGGTCCGTTGTGTTGGCTACCTGCTTACGATGTGGTTTGCAAGGCCACTGACTGGTGAAGCCCCCCCAGTGCGGCCATGGATCGCTCTGGTAGCCCTCTAGGTCTGAGAAATCGTAAGCCCACCTCCAAACCGCAACCACATGTAGAACCCAAACCCTCCCATCCAACGCCTCAAACCCTAACGATCACTATAACATCCCGATTCGTGATCCGCATCTGTGGTTTCTCGGCACCTTGGACGCTCTGGAGATACAAACGGATAAAAGGGGATTACAGGCTGAATTCAGGTTCCTATTCGTGATTCTATAAGATTGAATTTCAGAAGCCCCCGTCCATGGACAGGGAGGCCCAAATATAACATCAACGTATTATGCGATCCCTATACAGGCCCTATATGATCCCTATACATCCATCCCTGTATGATCCCCACATCATTCCAAAACCCTGAGTTCCAGACCCCAAAAAACCTTAAACCCTTGACTAACCCCTAACTCCTAAACCCTCCCCAAACCCTAAGCCCTAAACCCTCCCCTCCCTATAGCACTCCCTAAATACTAGTTTCCATTTTCTTTCCCATTATCCCAATATATTCCCTATATATATCCTCTACATATCCCCCTCCCTATAGACCCTGAAACCCCTAAACCCCTAAACCAACATGGTTGTCCAATCCAGGCTTGAGCTCAAGGCTTGCCCCACCGCCGCTGCTGCTGCTGTGGCCGCCACTGGAGTCGTCCTGTGTCTTGATACTTGGGTTTAGGGTTTAGAGTTTGGGGTTTTGGGTTAGGGCATATGAATTGATTTTTGGGTTGAGACTTTTGGGTTTTAGGGTCACAATACTGGGTTTTTGGAGGCAGGTGACAATCGAGAACATAGGGACTAGGCAGAACTCTCTCAATTATCTCCTTAGGGCTGGGTATAACCCATTATAGTAGCTTCCATTTTCTTTTCCATTATCCCAATATATAACCCCAATATACTATAGTAGTTTCCATTTTCTTTTCCATTATCCCAATATAACCAAAGGGTGGGGTATAGAAGAGGATCTTCTGCTGAGAGTTGCCCACCTCGGTGGGGTTTTCTGTTGCAAAAGCTACAGGCTTTTTGCACAATTCTGTCCCCTTAGTGACTTTGTGACTCTTGGGGTCGGAAAGGAAAATCATCCCTACTAGAATTAACTATGAACATATCTAACAAGGACCGCGGTCGGTGCTACACCGAAAGGGACTGTAATTGTGACAGCCCCCTCATATCTTGCCACACAGGATGCGCATGATGACTTGCAGGGTTGAGCATAGTCTGAGGTTCATCAACATTTTTCTCCTACCGGGGATTGGTTTAGAGGGCGATGGCTATTCCTACCCACACAAGCCACACATCGATGGCCCGCAGCCACCGGAAAGTCATACAGTTCGAGCCATGCAATTTAGGATATATATGAGAGTTATATTGAGGATATTTAGGGATAATGGAAAACAGAATGGAAACTACTATAGTATATTGGGGTTATATGGGAAGGCTCTTAGCCATCCGCCAAGAGGCCAGAGCTGCCAGTTTCCACAGCCTCAAGCCGAAGTGCTCAACCCTAAGCCCAAATCCATCAAACTTCAGCCGCCCAAAAGCCAAATCCTGACCCTTGAGCGAAGCTTGCATCTAAACCTTAACCCCTAAACCCTAAACGCATTATAGTAGTTTCCATTTTCTTTTCCATTCCCCCCAAATAATCCCTATTAGTAGTTTTCGTTTTCTTTTCCATTATCCCTAAGTGTCCTCAATATGACCCTAAACCCTTAGCCCCCATAACGCCCCAAGATTGTCCCAATAGAGCCCCATTCTTATCTTAAACCCTGTACAACCCCAATATAACCCTAATATTTCAGGCCTCCACCCACATGGGAACCTGTCGATTCGTAGCTCGATTCTGCAGAGCCCCGGCCACCTTGCAAGGCAATCGCATAGGGTGGTTTAGGGTTTAGGGTGGTACAGAGATGTTTGGGGGTAATTGAAAAGTAAGTGCAAACTACTATAGTATATTGATGTTGTTTAGGGATAATGGAAAAGAAAATGGAAGCTACTATGTTGGGGCTATGCAGGTATCTTCTAGGAAACAAGAAAATGGAAACCACTATTTAGGGTTTAGAACTTAGGGTTTAAAGGCTGCGTCGTAGGATGACGGGGGGAACGGCAAAGTTCCCGAATGGTTCCTTGCTACAGACATGCAAGTTAGGAAAGACATGCTCCGGTCCCAACTGAAAGGTGATGGCACTGCTCTTGTGTCCTTTATATGGGTTCTATAGGGCTTTTATGAGGATAAATAGGGCTCAGGGAGGGTTCTGGGCGCAACAGCTTAGCCCCCCAGTCGAGAAAGAAGGGGCTGCCAACGAGCAAGCAGGTGTCAAGCATCACCCTATGGTTACGTCGCTTGCATGTAGAAGCTCGAAGTACACAGTCACAGATCTCTAGCGCTTTGATTTTGCAGCGGATGTGGGGAACCTGCCAGGTCTCGGCCTGCCGAACCCTCTTAACACTGAACATGTGGATGTCGCCTGCAGGTCCTATTGCGTTAAGTGCTGGTTGAATTCAATGGGCTCCGGCTGATGATGCTCCCATATTCTGTGAGTCAGAGTTCCGTGCTAGTGAAACTTATAGAACCCAGGATAAGAAGCATTCGAGCTTTCTATGTTCACGCTCGCATTCCCTTACGCTATGATGTTACGTCCTCTTTTGACTGGGCATGGGAAAGTTCAGGAAAGTGCTATGTCTGAAACAAGGCGCTTCCCCGGGTGCATGCCCACGTGATGCGTGCTGTGCAAAGGTCAGATTGGCTTTCGAAGCCCTGACGAAATCTGCTTGAATCACCATTTGCTTTTCAACCCTTGTTACAGATCATTTCCGGACTTAGCATTCCATTCCCCGGGCCCAAACGAAAGTACCCAGCATATTTAAGGAGATCCTAGCTGGAGGGAAATGAGCTACATCATCCACAATATCCCCCCAGGTAGCCTCTACGATGTTACGAAGTCCCTATACCATTTACATAGGAAGCTCTTTAGACTCACATGCAATTCACCCCAACCCTGGCTAGGTCCCGCCTCCGCGTAGAAGGAACGAGTCACCGCGCTTCCAAAGCCCGTTTCCGTGTCAAACTGGACCTTGCCACTGGAAGAATAAATCGAACAGCAATAGTCATGTGGCAACTGGTAACAATGGCAATTGCGATCACGATACGGATAGCCGCAGCGGAAGTGGCAGCAGCAGAGTACTCGTGGAAGCAAAGCAGCTCCGGTGGCGGTGGCGGTGGCGGTGGTCAGGGTGATGGTGGGAATAATAGTTAGTAGTCTTCGTCGTAGTGGCAACGGCTGTGACCAAAACATCAGAACGCAAGGAATCGTGTTGATGAGACTCGAGGCAACCAATGAGCGCTAATCATCATAGCATGCATGCAGTACTATCCTTCGTTCTATCAAATCTGCGAAGGCCATAGTACCGCTGACTATCTTTGTCAAGAGAACTTGGTGTTCACATCAATAACTGCAACATTACTAGCAACGATCAGTATCGCTGCCTCTTCGGTGGGTATTAATTCAACGATGAGGTCCACATTCGAGGATCTCTGTTAGGGGAAGCCACAACAGGGGTCTCCCAATTCGTGGGACACTTCCATATCACTGAGCCTGATTCCCTGAACCCTAGACTCTAAACCATAAACCATGCTGAAGCCCGCCTCCAAGAGGCGATCCGAGGGTGCGATCCGCTCCATGGCCGCTTCTGCCTGTGCTTAGCTTCAGCCCGGCTTCAAGCTGCCAGCGGCACTTGGTGGGGACCCATCAAGATGTTGTAGGAATTTGGGGGTTCAGGGCTTATTCTCTAGGATAATGATGTAGGAATTCGGGGATGTGGGGTTTAGGTTCTAGAACGACGGTGTAGGAGTTTGGGGGTTCGCGGTTTAGGCTTCTTGCAATGTTCTTATTCTTGACTTCTCCTGGGCTCCTCAGATAGTTCGGTAGTGCTATGTAATGGCTACGGCTACAACAATGATGCAGTGTATAACTCTTACATAACCTCTGGACAATCCCAGGGATTAATGTGATGGTCTCTCCTCTGACTTAAGCGAAAACAATGTTGCTCGTAAACTTAGCCCCTGTTCCGCCAGGAACCAGTAGCATTATCTTTGCTTGCTGGGTCAACGAGTTGTTAGGGATCCTTCACGTAGTGAAGAATCAAAAGGACAAGATGTGGAAACTGAACCGGAAGGTATGTATCAGGTACGGGTAAGTGGTAGTTTCCATGAATAGGGGAATTTGAAGAGAGGTGCTACAATCCTCATTTTTTTGGTTGGGGGCCCTGAAAAAGTGCCCCTACTTTTGGGAAACCTCCATACAAGGATTTGTAAGGATTAGGGTCAGCGGCTTCCAGGTGCGGGATCCTTTGTACCTTTTGGGTTTGGATTTCCTTGCTAAACTAAAAAATCTTGTTGCTCGCCTAGTTTGAAACATCCCCAAACCCTAAACAGATCGGGGATTATAGGCCTCCCTCCGGGATTCCACAGGAACGATTTGGGTAGTTCCCAAAACTCTGGGCCCCGTGTGGTTACAAAGTATATTACGGCACATAATATTTAGGGGTATCAAAATGGGACGCTAATTTTGAAAACTACCCATATAAGGGGACACCCACAGAAACAGTTTTGAGAACCCAAAACCCTAAACCCAAAACCCTAAACCCTAAACCCAAAACCCTGAACCCACCCTTGCTTGCACCCGGTGCCGGTGGCCCGCGGGCGGCCTGCTGCAGAAGGAGCTCATCAGCCAAATCCTCGGAGCTCGCCTCCCCTGTCACCTGATTGAAGTAATATTGGGATAATATAGATTCTATAGGGGTAATATGGGCTTCTACAGGGGTATATAGGGAAATATACGGTTATATTGGGATAATAGAAAATACAGAGGAGACTACTATTTAGGGTTTACGGTTTAGGGGTTTAATTAGGGGTTCGGGGATTTAAGGTTTGGGTTTAGGGTTTTTGGTGTAGGGTTTCTGATCATACGGGTTTAGGGCTTACGGGAGTAGGATTCAAGGGATTGGGGGTTGGGGTTTAGAGGTTCTGGTAAGGGGCCATTTAGAAAGCCAGCCAGGCGTATGTAGCATTGCAACAGTTTTTTTTTGCGGGCATGACGGACTATTTGAAAAACTCCAAACTTTGGTTCAGGCAAACTTCTTTGTAGGTAGAGTTCAGGCACGGGCTATGAGGAAACAGAGCCATGTTTCTCCAGGTTCCATCACTTTAAGTTGTAGGCTGAAGTTTGGAGGGTTCAGTTTAGGGTTTCTTCTTGAGGCTTTCTTTTCTTCTGCCAGTTCGGGAACCCTCATTGCAATCATGGTCGGCTTCTGTGAGGGTTCTCATGTGAGGGCCAACTCTTCTTGAAAGCTGCGTGCGTTCAATGCATCCTCTCTTACAGTACACATCTTGCAGCAGGATGATGAACACTAAAAACATGAAACCTTTCAACTCTAGAAGTAAGTAGGGATTACATAGGGCCATTACTCCCACTAATGGAGACTTGAATGGAAAACCAAAAGGAAATTGAGATGGAAACGGGGTAGTATCGGGGCACAAGCGACTATGCAACGTGAGGTAGGGAGCATTTTTTCGCTGCGTGGAATAGAATTCTAAGGCTCCAGAGGGGACTTCCCAAGGGTGGTTTCCTGAACTCCCGTTTCTTATGGATTCCCAGCCTAAGCTTAATGGTGGTATGGTAGGGAATAAGGGAATATAGTATCCAGGGATTATATAAGGACTATGGGGACTATGTTCCCTTATTCCCTACTAAGAGCCCGCAAGTAAGGGGGGGATGATGGGGGTAGTAGGAGAATCTGCGAGTTCACGTCGCTGAGCTCTCGGCATCGCAAATCAGGCTGTCTTGGCGACCTCCCAAACTGAACGGCTACATGTACAGCTCAATTCAAACAACGCTTTGATTGGGGTTCTATGACCGGTCCAAAATGCAAGTATCTGTGCGGCTTCTCTTTCAGCCAGATTTTTGCAGGCAAGTGCTAATGAGCCCTGTACCATCTTTCTTCGAACAGTTGACAAATGGCTCATTTCTTCAAAGAAACCCGTTGCTCAGTGCTTCGCACCTCTTGAAGAACCACGTATTTCTCAAGGACCCCAGACATTCTGACCCACCTACCGTATACGATCTCAACCCCAGATCCGAAACCTCCCCCAACCACCCACCCACCCACCCACCCACCCACCCACCCACCCACCCACCCACCCACCCACCCACTCTGAAGTTTTGTTCTTTCCGGAGTCACTAGACCCAACACTTGTTCCTGCCAAATGGATAGGTTTTCATGAAGGAATAATAGCCATCAGCACAGCACAGCAACCCCAGCTCTAACAGTGCTACCCCGCACTGTTGTGAGGTCCTGGATTCTCTTTCCCCGATTGCAAGGGTCTACAAAAAAGGGATGACACTTTCAAGAAACACCGCCACATCAAATTGTGCATGTCTATGTCATCCCTGTTGATCCCATAGGCCATGGTGCTCACAACAGGGGAATGGGGCTAAGGATCATCAGCATTCCATAGAGATTGCTATAGCGGTCGATTCTCTACATAGGCCTAAAGCCTAAACCAAACCCTCAACCTTGGGTCCTAAATCCTGCGCAGCAATTACACATGCTGAACAGGAACTTAAAACCCAATTGCTCCCTAAAAGTCCCCTTAGCCTAAGAACCCAAACTCCCCCAAACCCTAGACCTGAACCATATTCTTCGTTTCCATTTTCTTTCCTATTCCTATATATCCCTTTGCAATATCCCTACATCCTATGTAATCAACACACTAAACCCTAATAGCCCTCAATCCTACGTAACCAAAACCATATCCCCAAGTCTTCTGTAATCAAACCCCTAAACCCTAGAATCCATACATTCTATATAACCCTAAACCCCAAACCCCCTAAATCCTGATATCCCTAGAGCCTATATTACAAGAACCCTATAGCTAAATCCTACTTAATCAAAAATCCTGAAATTTCAACCCTAAACAAACCCTAAAACCCCAAGCCGAGCCCTAAAACCTAAGCCCTAAACCCCAAAACCCTAAACCCAAAGTCCTAAAACCCTAAACTGTAAGCACCAGGTCGCAATAGGCCTGGCCTGAGTTTCTTTGGAGGCGAAGCAGAGTGCTCTGCAGCGCACCCAGCCAGAAATCAGATCTAACCACATGGTCCTGGCAAGTCTAGGATTTAGGGTTCATAGGTTTGAGGTTTATGCAGGCTGCTTACACTTCCTGTGGGTTTAAGAACTGAAGCGAACAGAAACTACCAGATTATTGTGGGTTTAGCGCCTACTGTGCTAAGTAGGCAGAGTGAATACAGGGACGGTTCAAGGTGATCAGATAGGGATTCACTCCCCCACTTCCCCTGCAGAGCAGCTAAGTAAAAGGGACGATGGGGAAGTTGATAAAAGCTACATTGAACAATAGCGGCAACGATAATCTTAACCAAAGTGATAAAGCGCCCTGTGACAAAGCACCTTCTCAACCTTCTATCTCTAAACTTCGCAAAGAGGATGCTTCTGGAAGATTTCGGAGGGCATACTACCCTAAACCCCATACTCTTAAGGTTTGCCGGGTGAGTCATGGGACCTTTCATGGCTTGTCTGCTCAAGGAGTCCCTGCTCTCGTCGGAGCAGCTTTTTGACCTCTGTACGGGGATTGTCATGCCTTTGCAGACATATCAACATATAGTTAGAGCCTTCCCTTGTCCCTGAAGAAAACCACCATGACAGGTAGGCAACAGCCCTGGAGATGCCAGGAAGCGTATCCCGACGTAGCTAGCATCTCGAGGCATGGGTAAGTGCGAGGTTGTGCTATGCTATAGGCCTTCATCATCATGAAAGATCAAGTCATCATGACGCTAGGACAACATAATGATGCCTAAAAATTCTACTTGAAACTTCACACCAACGTGATTTCTACCATCTCCAACCATGAGAAAAGGCCAGTGGAGCAATGCAAAACACGCCTCTATCAGCCGCACCCAGATTATGCTGCCACTGGAAGAACCCCCTGACCCATCCCGCGTTAAGGGTGAAATGTGCGGACCTTCATTTTGGCAGAGATACCTGCATGCATTCATGTCTCAGTGCCTCGATGTTCGAAACTTCCTGCAAGAGCTCCTGGGACATAAGCTGTGCAAATACTTTAGCAACAATGACAATGATGTAGAAGCGCAACGTGAACGATACCAGTAGTTTAGTCTAAATGCTAGCCATGGAAAAAATCGAAACACAAGCGATGCTTTGTCTGGGAATAGTTGTGATGGGTTGCATAGGAACGGTACATGGATTCAGCAGCTGAACGCTACCGGCGTGTAGAACTGAAGTGTTCAGGAATAAAGTATCCCAAAAAAGTTCTGACAAGGCGTCGAAACAAAAACTAACACAGTCATCGTCGGTTCAGGACCAAAATCGGAAAGCGTCAAGCCATAACAAACCTCTTCCCTTATCTTACTGTGTGTTGATAGGGAACAAGGGAATATATCAGGGTTTATGTAGGGATTATACCCTACTAGCAACCCGTAAGTTGTCCGCTTCCTACCCGAAATCCTAAATCCTATACAGTACTTGGAGTCACAAATGGACAGGAATCCTGTCTCAGCAGCTGAAAATGATCCAGGAGGGGTCCAAGATCAGCCGTATTCATTCGTTCGCTCAGGTCCTCAGCCTTAAGCAATATTACAAGTATTGTTACTGTTATTATTACTACTAGTATTCGTATTAGTGTTATTACTATCATTATTCTTGTTACTATTACAACTATCTCAGTAGCCACTCCAGACCTGCGGTCACAACCTGTAAAACATGTGCTACAAACTATTTCACAGCCTGTTTCTGGCATTCTACAGAATATTCAGCAGCAGCTATATCTCAAGCTAAACTGAACACTGACTCCCTTATCGTCCTCCACTTTCCTTGGGTCACCCTGGGTGGCGGCGCCAAGTTCTGTCGGCAAGGAGTTGCGGCGGCGCCTGGGATGCTCAAAGTGGGGTTTACAACGTAGGCTTCCGCCGTACTTGGGATGTTATCAATTTCCAATATCGAGGTAAGGGGTTTTGGGTGCCCTGAGAATTCATGGGAACATGGGAACTACGTAAAGGGATAACAAGGGCACCTGAAGCAGCAAAAGTCCTGGACTCGGTGGCCAATACCTGAACATCCAATGCAGGCGAGGCACAGGTATGGCCCAACCTGTCAGATACATCTCGGTTGACAGTAAAAACTATAGGGCTAGGGTTTAGGGTCTAGGGTTTAGGGCAGAAAGTCGGGTACTACTAGCAGTGACGATAACAAGGAAGCGCTATCAACATAAAACTATGGACTCTCGAAGCTGTCAATTAGTCATGTTGGGCAAGGAGCTTAAGTCATTGCACTGTAAGGTTTGGCCAGCGCGTGGGCAACAGTCATCAAGACAGAAGAGGTCAAGGCTTTGAAATTGACAAAAAAGCCATCCCTCATACAGGACCCCTAAAAGAAGCAGGCAAATTATCAATGTCGAATAAGACCCCATCCACAAATGGCGGAGGAGCCATTCCTCGGCTGACCCCATGTCCAACTGCCTCATCTTACACCACTCCTCTGAAGCTCAAGCTTGCGCCCCCCCAATAATTGTGGGCTCCTTTTCCGGAAGGAAATATTTGACATGCTCACGTTTTCTAAGACATTCTCCATGTGTTGGCCAACGCGCTCCTTGCTCTCTTGCGCCCAGTGAACGGCCAGCGATGGCCCGAGGGCTGTGTATCGCAGGAGCATCTTTCGTGTCTGCAGGCCTGATGTCTGCGCTAAGTCTCAGAGTCCAGACAACCGAGTGTAATCACAGGTGCGACTCACCTAAACACACTCAGCGCGAAAAGCATGCAAGGAACCATCACCAAAAGAGCAGCAACAATGGCGACCTTGTCGAAACGAGAAGGTTCGCAACTTCATGGCTCATCTGCTGCATTTGCGGCGCTGTTAGCATGATGTCTAATCATGCAAGAACGGCACAACTAAACGCAACTAGGCTGCAAGACAAGTCAGAGCGAAGAAGAGAATTTGGGGGTTTCCCAAAATTTGGGCCACCTTTCTAGGGGATCCTTATATACATGATTATAATATATTGAGGTTCGTATGAGGGTACCCAATTTTTGGGAAACTGCCATTTGACCGGTGCTACCAAGTCTCTGAACAGAAACGGGCACGCGCGCGGCAGCCTGGATGCAAGGCATGCTGCGAAAAAAGCGGGCGTCCATTCAGCATGTGGGGGTTTCCCAAGATTAAGCGTACCTTAAGGGGTTTTATAAGAGAAAAACGCTTTGGGGATGAGGGTTTAGGGTTTCCCAAAAGTAGGGGTACCGTTTGGGGGGCCCTATGATGAGGATGATAATATTTTGGGGTCAATACTGGGGTCCCCCTATTGTGGGAAACTACCATATTCTATCAATTCTTGAACCTTGGCCCTCTGATTCCTGACGTCTAAAACCATGTTCGCTTCTTGTACAGCTCTGCCATCACACATTAGTTATCATCTCCCCTGAATATCAAGCCAACCCCACCTCTCAGGATTGAATGCCCTTCTCATCACAAGAGGCCCTAAAATCAAATCCAGAAGATGAAAACATCTTTGCAGGGTCTAGTAATCTTGGGGTAATATTAATATGGGCGAAATGGAAAAGAAAATGTGAAACTACTATAAAGGGGTTATATACGGCTTAAGGTAGGGCAATGAAGGAAGGTCTTCCAACATGCAGCTCCCGAACTTCTGAACTGTAGGGAGTCCTCGTCTGAAGGACATTGCAGCAGTTAAGCCTTGAATGCCAGTCCAAGAGGCTATCCTAGAAACCAAGCCCTAAGCAAGAGTACGAGACCCCATGGACCTAAACTTGAAGCCCCATATCCCACACCCAACACAGTTAGACCTAAGCCCAAAAGTTCACAACCCAAAACAACTAAACCCCAAGCTCGAAATCCAAAACCCTAAGCCCCAAATCCCAAAATTCTACGCGCCAAGTTCAAATTCCAAATCCTAAACCCTTAAACCCTTAACTGGAAATCCTAAACTCTCAGGAGCCGAGCTACGTCGTCGCCCAAAGTGGCAAGGCACCGCTGGAGACGCTCAAAGGGTCCTGCAACATGACTTACTAGGGGGTTAGTAGGGAATCAATGTTATAGGGATAATGGCAAAGAAAAGGGAAACCATTATGTTTTAACAGGGTATATCTTGGGGTTAGTAGGGAATCAGGGAGTCTATTATATGGGGAAAAATTATAGGGAGAATATTCCCATATTCCCTACCAGTAACCGGCAAGATTATGGGGGTTCTTTTGTATCGGACCTTTTCTCCACATGTTGTATCCAAGCAGCGACAAGAGTTTAGGGTTGGGAGTGTTAGGCCATATTATCCAAATGATGGAGAGCCAAATGGAAAAATGCGTGGAACATGAAATTTAAACTTGGGCTTTTAGCGATTGGCGGGTTTAGGCTGCAGTCTTTAATTGGGTCATTTTTTTGGGGGCTATATGTGACTGCAACATACTTACCCAAGATGTTAACTGGTTTATGCAGTACCTAATGCATTCTCTAGGTTTCAGGTCTTGTTGTTTTTCCAGGGTTTGCTGTTTCTCAGATTAATTAAGGGGGGTGCTGTTCACGTTTTAAGGTGTATCCTTCAGGTTTCAGGATCAATATCCCAAATCCTAAGCCCTAAACAGGCGTACGTCTTAGGGCTGAAAACTTTGGCAGTAGCTTCCGGATTGCGAATTGAGACGTAAGCTTGCGGGTGCAGGGCTTAGGATTAAGAATGAAGGCTTGGGGGGCGAGAGATGCAGGATACAGGTTCGGGGCTTGGGAGTTTCAGCTCAAGGGTTTGGGATTGGGATTGGGGGTTTCGGACTGATGTTTGGTGCTTCAGGGGTTTGTGGAACAAATGGACCACCACTCGCCTTGCTGGGGATGTATGGGGTTTGCAGCGCTTCATGCGCTTCCCAGTACAGATTGCCTAAGGTGGGGCTTTAAGAAACTTCTTCTCAAAGACTGAGCAAGGATTTTTCTAATCCCTTATATACATGTACACCCCTATCCATGTATAACCTTATGTATCCCCCCCTTTGCCCTCACATAAATGCTTGCATGAGCAAAGTAGAAGCCGGTCATGCAAGATTGCATGGTTCAACGGCCTCTCAGAATTATGAGCCGCTACTCCCTGAACCCTCGAACCTAAACATGTAGCCAAATCTCCGAACTCCCTGCCAGGGGTTTTGGAGACATGGCTTCAATGTCAGCAAAAGCTGCCACTTGTGAATGCTCAGAAATGGTAGTTTCCATGAATAGGGGAATCCGATATAAGCCCTCATATACTCTGTGATTGCAATCCCGGAAAGGGGCTATGATTTTCGGAGCCCCCCAGACCCTATAAACACCTCTAGAATCGCAGTTTCCACTTCATTTTCCATTTTTCCACTTGATTCTCCATTGTTGGGATAATTCCCCTAGGAACCCCCAGCTTTCATTATGTAGCAAGAAGTTGGCTTCCCACACTTCCTGGCACAAGCTCATAGGAAGAATTACCAGCTCCCCTTAAGGACAGCCCTGCCTTAGAGACACCCCGCTCCCTCTTTGAGGTTACAGCCCCCCTTAAGTAGATAGAATATGGGGTATATGGGGATCTTATTATAATATACCCCAAAGCCATATTCCATCTACTTAAGGGGGATTATATTATTAGCTCTGAGCGGTGGTGGGGAGCTTTTTTTACAGGGAGGTTGGGAACTATTTCATGACAAGCGGATCCCACTTAATGCTCCTTCGCTCTTCCAATGCATGCCTGCAAATCCCCCTGCAAATTCAGAAGTCCTCCAGTTGGTGGCTCAACTTCCTGAGAGAAATGGGGGTTTCCGGAAATTAGGGGGGCCTTTCTGGGGGGCTCCATAAAACGGATTATGAGGTGTCTATATTGGGTCCCCCATTCATTATGAAAACTGCCAGAAAACCTCCTGGCGTATGGTGGGGATGCAAGGAGAGCGTGCGAACAACACAGCAAATATCGTCACAGTAGCAATGGCTTTGCAGTCATAATCCTGGAGGATCTGAGGATTACATCAATCTGCACTACGGAGGGTCCGGCTTACTGTACTTACGCATCTACAAGCTTTCATTCAATCGTTTTCATTTTCTTTTCCCCTCCCCGGTATGCCCTTATACACCTCAAAGAGCTCTATAAGAACACGGTTTTCCTTTTCAATCCCTGCACATGCCCCTCCTTGAACCTGCAAGTCCTAAACCCTAAACTCTGCTTCAAGCTAGTACATTATAGTATATCATAGTGCAGTATAGTACATTATAGTAAACCTTCAGCCCTGAACCCTAATCCTAAGCCCTACACCTAAATCGTAAGCCCCCCTACACTCCTCGCGTGTGCAAGCAAGAGGCCAGTCCAGCTTGGAGTTGACCCAGGTCACTCCAGATACCTCTTCGTTTACTGGGTTGCTGTTAAGGCACTTAAATTAAGTCACAAGAATGAGTATATATAGTAAATAATAGCGTTTCCCCAATATAGTAACTTAATTTAAGTTCCTTAACAGCAACCCAGTTAGGGTTTAGGTTTTAGTGCTTAGCGTGTAAGGTTTAGGGTTTGCGGTTTAGGGTTAATGGCTTAGGGAAGCCTGATTTTGAAATTCGTATTCTACCCATGCGGGGAAGGGAGCTGTAGAATAACAGGAGCCTCAATTTTGAGACGCATAGGGAAAACATGTGCCACATGATAATCATAGCAATAGTGCTCAGAGTTAACGCGCGACATTTTTCCAGCGACGAAATTGACGAACTGTATTGAACGCAAGCAGCAAGTGCCTGCAACTGAAACCCAGTCCTCCAAATGCAGTATTGCATGACTGCTATCTCTTCAAATGTTGGTTTACCGTCAACATTCATCATGACAAGTGCAACCGTTGTCATGCATTAGCCACAATGCCTACTATGTCACAATTTTTTGGCAAAGCTTCTGGGTAAAGTTCGGAGCCTCTCCAGCTTGCTCCCAGAGGACGGAGAGAAGCTCACACGCATCCAGAACTTCCTCGTCAGCACCTTTTCCAGGAAGCTGTTAGTGGCTGTTTGTTGGATTTGGGTTTTTGGTGCTTTACTTGTTGCGATGACTATTAATCATCTTGCTGGTCCTCCGTTTGGCTGCATTTGCGAAAATCACTGTCCCTATCACTGTCATGGATCTGGTTGGTCTTGACCTTGCAGACATTCTCATGGGTGCAGGAAGGTACCCTCTTTGCTGTCATTTGCTGTTCAAATTGTTTTCTGCTCCTTTGTCTCATCATGAGCTTTTTGCTTTGTTAGGATTGCGATCCTTGGTACCCTCGCAACGGTGAAAATGCTTGATGACAGCTGGGCGCTTCCCTACAAGGAATATGTAGGTAGGTCTACGAAAGAAGCCATACGCGGGGTTATGGCCGCAATGGACGCTCTACTCCTGGCGCGGCTTCCACGGTCGAATAGGGTTTAAGGTTTATAGGGGTTAGGATAATGGAGAATCAGATGGAAAAGAAAAAGGAAACCCATGTCTCTATGACTCTTCCCGTCGCTTGCCATTCTTCCTCCAGTTGTGCTATGATTTCGGAGCTCAAGCCCGTTGCCAAAGGCCGTACTTATGACGTGCACATAGTCATGGCACAGGCAGTAATGACAGTACTAGGAAAATCAACCATGATAGCAGTGATGAGAACGGAAATGGTACATATTTTGTACTAAACAAGACAACGTTTTTTTCAAGGTCCTACCAAGAAGG